TTTTTGGTTTTTTGAGACAGGGTTTCTCTCTGGCTTTGGAGCCTATCCTGGAACTAGCTCTGTAGACCAGGCTGGCCTTGAACTCAGAGATCCACCTGCCTCTGCCTCCCAAGAGCTGGGATTAAAGGCGTGCGCCACCATGGCCCGGCTGAAACCCCTTATTCTTTAGAAAGTTATTAGCCCCTCACTCAAACAGCTTTTTTTTTCAGATGGCTGGATTTGTTGGGACTGATCCCCGGTTTTGGCACTTGCTAGGCAGGAGCTCTACTAATGAGCAACAGTCCCCAGTCCTTCATATGGGGTCATTTACTTATGTACCATGCATCCTTACTGAGGGTCCCTAGAGATAGCCCTGGCCTGTCTGGTCTGTTCATCTCCCTTAGCTATAACTCCAGTTGACAAAACAAAGGGAACATGCGATCAGCAAATGACCACTGCTAAGCCAAAATGTCACGGCAGCCCGCACAAACCTGTGCTGAAGAGCACAGCATACCTGGATGAAGTCCATTTCTTCTTGAGATATAGGTTTCCTTCTGTATTTCTGAGGTAGTGTTTTTAGTATTTCTGCAGTGTCTGGTGGCCCCGGATGCATCAGCAGATCTGGGGATATGCTTCCTTTAGAATGCTGTGAAATTACAGAAGAGTGAGAGGGAAGCCCAGCAGATCTCAAAACGTCTGAGGCTGAAATTAAAAACAAAAATACTAATTAGACAAATTATCCACGCGTCTTTGCTGTGGAAAATTATTCTAAGGTGTTTTGTTTCTGCTGTGGAACATTTGTTTAACGATGTAAAGATGTGTTGCTTTTGTTTAGGCTGCATTTGTTTAACTCTGTGAAGCTGTGATTCTTTGCCTGTCTAAAACACCTGATGTCTAATAAAGAGCTGAATGGCCAATAGCGAGGCAGGAGAAAGGATAGGTGGGGCTGGCAGACAGAATTAGTAAGAGGAGCAAGAGACCAAGGAGAGGAAGAAGTCAGGGGCCAGCCACCCCATCAGCCATGGAGTAAGTGAAAGATACACAGAAATAAGAATAGGAAAAAGCCCAGAGGCAAAAGGTAGACAGGTTAATTTAAGAAAAGCTAGCTAGGGGGCTGGAGAGATGGCTCAGATGTTAAGAGCACTGACTGCTCTTCCAGAGGTCCTGAGTTCAATTCCCAGCAACCACATGGTGGCTCACAACCATCTGTAATGAGATCTGGTGCCCTCTTCTGGCATGCAAGCAGACATGGAAGGAATGTTGTACACATAATAAATAAATAAATCTTAAAAAAACAACTAGTTAGAAGACAAGCTAAAGCTGGACATTTATAAGAAAGAATAAGCTGCCATGTATGATTTATTTGGGAGTTGGGTGGAGGGACCCCAAAGAGCAAAGAACCAAAAGAGTCAAAAAACTAACCAACAACCATCTGTAAATGTTATTTTTTTTTTAACTGAATAATCAAAACATCCTTTAAAACAGGTTATTGGGCTTATGAGATGCAGTTAAGAACTCTTGGCTTTTCCAGAGGACGTAGGTTTAATTCCCAGCACACACAGAGGTGATCAAGCTGTAACTTCATTTCCAGAGGATCTGACACCTCTTCTGGCCTCTGTAGGTACCAGGCATGCCTGTGGTACACTGACATACATGTGACAAAACATACACATTAAATAAAACTTTAGGAAATGAGTCATTCTTCAATTTGCTTGTAGCTATCCTCCTCCTCCTCAATCTTGTGAGTGCTAAAATTATAGGTACACACCACTATTCATGGCCTCTTGAACTATTACAATATCCTCTCTCATGTATGTATGTAGTATGTATGTATGTATGTTTACGTCTATTCCCAGCACTCTGAGAGGCAGAGAAGCTCTATGAATTCAAGGCTAGCCTGGTCTACATATCCAGTTCCAGGTCAGCAAGAGTTATATAGTAAGACTCTACATAAAAGTAAACAATGAATTTTAAAAGTTAATTACTTGCATGCTACTCGGGTACCATTTTGATCTAAAGTACAACAACTTACCTGATTATAAAGTGATAAATACTGTCATAAATACTGTCTATAATATTTACTTCTAAAAATGAAGGTGCACATTTTACAAACTACCTAAATTAAATACAACTTACCACTGAGTTTAGGATTGTCTCTTCTGTCAGGGAACCTTATTAATGGAGTATGTGGCTTCACTACCTGATGGAAAATAAGACGTGAGAAAAAAATGACCTCATTAACTATAAAAGCAACAACCTACTAGTCAGTCCTCATAATTAAATACCTTCATTAAAATACAGTACTACTTAAGGGGTGGAGAGAGGGTTAAGAGCATGTACTGTACGGCTCTTGCAGAGGACTGGAATTTAATTCCCAGAACCACATCAGGACAGCTCCTGTCTGTACCTCCAGGGGCAATGTGATACCTCTGACGGCCTCCACCCACGTGCACATCACATTCACTCACACACACAGACACACACACTGGATAAACATGCACACACACACATGAAAACACAGCACTTGCTAAGCAACTCCGACAAGGTGGTACCCACAGCGGAAGGAGACAACTGACTCCCAAAGGTTGTCCTCGGATCGCCATACATACGTGTACTCTATATACATCACAATAGTGAGCAAAACGTTAAACCGAAAACGCACAGTTAATTGGCCACAGAGATGGCTCAGTGCTCAAGACCACTTTCTGCTTTTGCAAGGGACCAGAGTTCAGTTCCCAGCACCCACAGCAGGCAGCTCATAAGTACCTGTAACTACAGCTCCAGGTGATCTGATGCCCACTCTGGGCTCAGACACACAAAATATATTCGTAAAAATAAAAAAATAATAAAACAAATGAAGATGATGTGACCTTGTGTCGTGGAAGCCTTTCTGATTGATGGGGAAAGGACTCTGAAATGTCCTGATTTGTACCAAGTATGACTTCCCTGCTATGTTACTACTTAGCAGTTTAGAACAGACAACACACAAAAAGCATATTAGGCAATTAAAAACACCTGTTCTAAGTTGGTACATGCCTTTCCTAGTGCCTCTCGAGGCAGAGACAAGTAGATCTTTGTGAGTTCAAGTCCAATCTGGTCTACAGAGCAAGCAAGTTTCGGGACAGATGGAACTACATAGAGAGACCCTGTTTCTTGTTTTTTTCGAGACAGGGTTTCTCTGAAACTTTGGAGCCTGTCCTGGAACTAGCTCTAGTAGACCAGACTGGCCTTGAACTCAGAGACCCACCTGCCTCTGCCTCCCAAGTGCTAGCATTAAGGGCATGCGCCGCCACTGCCTGGCTCCAACTTTTTTTTTTTTTCTGAGACATGGTTTTACTATGTAGGTCTGGCTGTAACTTGCTCTGCACACCAGATGAGCCTCTACCTCACAGATTTGTCTGCCTCTGCTTCCTGAGAGCTGGGATTAATGGTGTAAGTCAACATGTCTGTTCATATTCATTTCAGCCCTAGTTATATATGCATTACTGATGTATGAGGTTATATGGTATGGACAGAGGACTTTTGTTGGCTATTATCTACTTGCTGAATCCTCAATGCCTACAAGTAACTAAGGATTAGTCATTGCCATTGTACCAAAGGTCATCACTCAGACACCTTCAAGGGAAAGGTCTTTTAGAAGATGTTTTCCTGCAAAGGAAAACGCACTTATAACAAAAGTGAAAGCTAATCAGAAAATACTCCACATTCCGAATTTGAAAAACTCTCTAATTACAAAAGGCTGTGTCTACTTATTCATGAATTTTTACCTCTCCTATTAAATCAGAGACTACAGCTGGGGAAGCAGGAACAAAAGCTGTCAGGAGTTAGTAATTGCTGGGTGGATTAGCAATGTTACTCTAGCTAATGTGTTACTCTAGCAATGTTACTCTATCTAAACACAATGGGAAAAGGCTTAGCAAACCAGCCCTGAAACATACACACTAGTAGGTAATAAACTCAACTAGCGTGACATTTCACACATCCCCACACATCGGTAGCCAGGCGTCCGAAGAGATCAGATCTGACCAGGTTCAAGGTGAGGAAGCAGCCCAAGAGGCTAGTTATCCGGCCATTCCCAAGTCCTTGAAGGGACACCAGGTCAGAACCAGGATTTGCTTCCTTCCCCCGCCCCGCTACGGCCTTCCTCCGGATTGGCTGACTGGGGGGACATCACTGACAATTTTAAACGGCGATTGGCCAAGCTGCCGGAGGGCAGCGCAGTCCGCAGACTCCTAGGGCTAAGGAGGTGCTGGGGAGTCCGTAGACCTCGGGCGAGCACGAGCCTATTCAACCAGAGGCTGCCTTCCGCCGCGCGGCTCGAACCCTCGGCGCCAGACCCTCCTTACTCCCGGCCACCCGGAGCCCTGGTCCCATTTTCAGACACACACCCGCTGGCCTGGGCCGCGGTCACAGCGCGTTCTCCGCCACCGCCTCTCCCCGCCGCCCCGGCGCGGCTGCTGCATTTGCACCATCCCTCCTTCCCATGCGCGGGAGTGGCCCAGGATTTACCTGCACGACCCTGCTGGCGGAAGCCATCTTGCTGCCCATCGTGACCCCCGAGCAGGGGCAGCTTCCGGGGCGCAGGCGAGCGGCAGAAGTATCGGGAGTGGGAAGCGTGGGGCGGAGCCGGTGTGATGTCACTGAGGAGCTGTGGGCAAGCTCCACCCCTCCGCGCCAGGACCCGCCCCTCTTCCCGCCCTTGGCGCTCAACCCAGGCTTTTTCTATTGTAGCGCTTTTGCAGCAACCGGTTGAACTGTTTGGTTCACCATCCCAAGTTATCTAGGACCATTTCCCTCCCAGATAGCTAGTTTCTAATTTCAGTACAGTTCAAAATTTAATCTGAAACAGAAGTAATACAACCTCCTGTGGCTTCCTAACATAAATAATTTTATTAAAACTTGGAAGTTACGTAGATGCCTCCCTTGCTCAGCCATCATCTGTGAAGTCTCCTCCTGCAGCAGATAGGAAGAAATACGGAGACCCACAGCCAGACGATATGCATCATGAGAGACCTGGGAGCACTCGGGCCTAAAAAGGATGTCTGCATCCAATCTCTCCCCTCAGAGGTCAGGGAACTCTGCAGAAGAGGAGGAAAAGTGTTAGGAGCCAGAGGACACCAAGGAATCAAGACCCTCTAGATACAACAGGGCTGGCTCATGGGAACAATGACGCATAGGATATGCTCCAGATGGGGCTCCAGAGCTGAAGGAGAAATGGATTCGTGTCCCATCCCTAACCCACAGCCTATCTCCAATCGATAGCCACTTGCGAATGAAAAATTAATTTTCTCCAAGGGTGTCTCACTGGGGAAACAAACCACTCTTAGGGTAGGCGGCATGTCAAACAACAGATGGCCAATAGAAAATGAACTCAGCAGCATCTTTGGCGGTTCTTTGTCTAAGACTGTTAAGTCAGGACACTTTTTTTAAACCTTGCTAGTCCTTTGCATATATATTATTGTTTCCCATTTCGTGTATTTAATGGGATTCCTGTGTGTGTGTGTGTGTGTGTGTGTGAACGTGTGTGACTTTGTATATGTGTGCCCTTCTTGTGCTTTTTCTTTGGCTCTTGTTTGGCTATTTTGTCCTATTCCACTTTGCTTGTTTTTGATTTATCTTATTGTACTGTATCATTTCTCCTTAGATGCCTGTTTGTTTTCTAACCAGAGACAGAAAGGTCGTGGATCTGGGTGGGAGGTGAGCTGGGCAGAAACTAAGAGAAGTAGGAAAAGTCATAATCAGAATATGTTGCATAAAAAATATTTTTAACTAAAGAAAAAAAAACCCTGAGATTTACTTAGCGCACAAAAGGAAGGGTCAATTCTGACTTAATGGGAGCCAAACCCTACTCCCTTGCTGGGGGGCATTGCTTGATTTCAGTTTGTTTTCCATAACTCACTATTCCTGATATTTAACTACATTTTTTCCCCAAGTTTGAGAGTACTCAGAAATTTCATGGACTAATTTTTTTTTTCATGGACTAATTTTTGTTCATGTTTTTTGAGGCAGAGTCTCTCTACATAACCATGGCTGTCTGGGAAATCACTATGTAAACCAGGATGACCTCATACTCACAGAGATTCACTGGCTCTGCCTCCCGAGTGCTGGGACAAAAGGCATACACCACTACTCCTGGATCATAGTCTAAGTTTTGAAACATAACCAGCCATCTCAAATTATTATATTCATATCTATTCTATAGTAATATTAATGCTTAAAGCTGAAACAGGGGTGTTGTATGTTTGAGGCCAGCTAGGGCAACAGCATGGACTATTACATCCTAATATGTAAAGGATAGGGGTATAACCCATAAGACACATACATAGTATGTGTAAGGCCCTGAGTCTAATTCTCAGTACCACATGAACAAAAAATATGTGTGCATATTGATGCATGTATATATATGCTTACATATATGCTTATCTCATTATAATAGATGTTATGGCCTTTTTTTTTTTTTTTTTTTGGTTTTTCGAGACAGGGTTTCTCTGTAGCTTTGGTGCCTGTCCTGGAACTAGCTCTTGTAGACCAGGCTGGCCTCAAACTCCCAGAGATCCGCCTGCCTCTGCCTCCCGAGTGCTGGGATTAAAGGTGTGCGCCACCACCGCCCGGCTGTTATGGCCTTTTTGACATAACTTTGTAAGTACGTAGCTTTTAAACTGCTGTAAATACCGAGTTACTAGTTTTCCTGATAAAGGTTAATGATTCGTGATTTATCACGAATATGAGATATTGGTACACAAGTGAGCAGCCGACACAACAAAAACCTGGACTATATGGCATTGGGTGGAGAGGCAAAAGGAGAAAGGTAAAGACTATCAGAGCTTGACAAACATCAATCACTTGGCAAGAACCATCTGTTGTGGTAACCGAGGGTAGAATCAAGTGACAGCTGGGCCAGCATCTCAGGGAAGAAGCAGGAAGGAGGGCACTGTAGTCAGAAGTACTAGTTCTTTGTCTTGTGGTGCTGAAGAGAAACTCAGGGTGGGCCCTTCCGTGTTGAAATAGGAGCCGGCAGGGCTGCGTCCCCGGCACCCGGCCGCCCTCATGGCTAGCTTATGCCCGAAATAATTACACGGAAACTGTATTCTTTCAAACACTGCCTGGCCTGGCTAGGTCCAGTTTCTTATTGGCTAGCTCTTACATATTGTTCTAACCCATTTCTAATATTCTGTGTAGCCCATGAGCTGGCTTACCAGAGAGGATCTTAACCTGCGTCTGTCTGGAGTGGGAGCATCATGGCGACTCCTCTACTAAGCTTCCTTTTCCCAGAATTCTCCTCTGTTTTCTCCACCCACCTAAGGGTGGGCCTTATCAAGGGGCCTAGGCAGTTTCTTTATTAATAAGAAATCACTCCCACATCACTTCCGAAAGCAAGCACACAGAAGAGATGGACTTCTAAATCCCAAGGCTCGCAGGGTTGGTCAGCTGATTGCTCCTCAGCTCCTAACCACCAGAGATGAGAAGGTTTTCACTTCTCATTTTAAAAATTTATTTTATGTTTATATGTGTGTGTCTATGTGTATGTGCATGTGAGTACAGTTGCCTGAGGAGCTAAAGGCATTGGATCCCCTACAATTACAAGCAGTTGTGAGCTCCCTGATCCAGGATCTGGGAATTGAACTTTGGTCTTCAGCAAAAGCAGTTTGCATTCTCAGCAGCTGAGCCATCTTGCCAGCTTCTCAGTCATAGCTGATTGCTAACAATAAACATGTGTGCGGGAACTGAACTCTGGTCTAGAAGACCAGTATGTACTCTAAACTGCAGAGCTGTCTCCAGTACCTGGTTATCATTTTTCTGCTAAGAAAGGCATAGATTAATACAGAACTATAAGAAATAAATGTCAGGACTAAGAAGGTACAGGGTGGTACAGTGGATAACTGTAGGATTTCTTTTAAGCGTCCTTCTTCATTTGGCATCCAACTTGGGTCCTTCTTCAGGTAACTGATTTGCTGAGCAAGCATGAGGATCTGAGTTTGGCTCCCCAAAGCCCATATAAATAGTTGGGTGTGGCCCCACACCCACCTATAGCCACAGTGTTGTCTAAGGGTGGAGGCAGGAGAATCAGATCATTGAGGATAGTTGGCCACCAATCTAGGTCCAGTTTCAGTGAGAGACCTACTCAAAGGAATAAGGCTGAGAGTGATAAAAACACAAATCTTCTTCTGGCCTCCAAATCCTCCTGTAGTCTCAGAAGGAATGCATGAGTGTGCATACACACCCAACATATGCATACCCCATAAACATTTGGCACACACATACAACACATGCACAAGCCAGGCATGAAGGCACAAATCTGTAACCTCACTGCTGGGGGGCAAAGACAGATGAATTCTAAGGGCTTACTAATCAGAAACAGACTTATTAGTCTAACTGAAACAGCAAGTCCCTGTGATGTGAGAGGTCCTTCTGTCTATGTGTTGCTTTTATTGGTTAATGAATAAAGAAACTGCCTTGGCCTGTTGATTGGGCAGAACTTAGGTAGGCTGTCGGAGCCCGTGTGGGTCCAACACAGATTCTCTAACTAGACTGGACCGGAGTCGCGAGGAATAATCAGACACAACTTACACGGTCATTATGAAAAAGGCCAACATCTTAAGATGTTTATTGTCCAAACATCTTATATACCCACACCAAATGAGCGGGAACACACAAAGGCTGTTGCCTAGGCAACCAGGTGCCTGGGCTTAAGTCATGTCTGCCTCTAGCAGTCAGGTAGGCCCTGAATTAGCATCTCTATAAGACAACCTCCAAATTGCAGAAGGAAAGAAGCCCCAAATATCCTGACCAGTTTCAGTCAACACCCCTTCTCAGGTAATCCACACTTTAACAAAAGAAGCTAGGAGCAAGACATCCTGGCTTTTGTTAAGGGCACAGAGAGCTTGTCTGCAGAGCTATGTAAACAGCTCAAACCTGGGCAATGGCTTTTGTGGTAATTTCAAAATATGTGCCCACAGTAGGCAGGAAAAACCAAACTGAATGCTGGGAGAAAAAAGGGTGGAGTCAAAGAGAAGCCATGTAGCCCTGCTGGAGATAGATACCAGATCTTTACCCAGTAAGCCATACACAGATTACTAGGAATGGGTTAAATTAATATGTAAGAGTTAGCCAATAAGAAGCTAGAGCTAATGGGCCAAGCAGTGGTTTAATTAATATATAGTTTCTGTGTGATTATTTCGGGTCTAAGCAGCTGGGAACTAACTAGCACCTTCATACTACATTCCTGTACTGACGTAACAGTTCAACACCAACCACCTGTGTGTGTATGTGAAGAATGTATTTAGGGGAACTGGAGAGATGGCTCAGCAGTTAAGAGCATTGGCTGCTCTTCTAGAAGACCTGAGTTCAATTCCCAGCAAACACCTGGTGGATCACAACCATCTGTAACAGGATCTGATACCCTTTTCTGGCATGCAGAGAACTCATATATAAAATATAATTTTTTAAAAAAGAATGTATTTAGAGATTGCATATACAGCCTAGTACTAAAGCACTGGTTAGCATGTACAAGGCTTTGAGTTCGATTCCCAATACTACCAAATAAATCTAATGTAACTAAAGACATGCTTATAATTCTAACACTTGGGAGTAGGTGGCCAAAGGATCAGAGGTTTAAGACTAATGTCAGCTACACGGTGAATTCAAAGACAACCTGGATTACATGAGACCCTGACTCAAAAAAAAAAAAAAAAAAAAAAAAAACTAGGGCCAGCAAGATGGTTCATTGGGTAAAGTTGTTGCTATGGAGTCTGTGACATTTGAGAAAAAAAAACCATAGACTTGATTCAATTATAATTAAAAGATTTGTTGATTAGCTGTCAGCAAGATGAATAATCTCTGAGCCAAA